CCTCAGGAACTGGGAAAACCTCCATTGGCATCCGCCAGCACCCCCAGAGTCCTCGGACCACTCACTGCAGGGAGAATGCTATTTCCCTGTCTTTAAACTCTGAAGGGGGTGGCGGTGCGGCCCAGTGGTAAGAGCAGCGAGTACCACACCAGCTATGGGAAAATAAAACCAAACCCGAATACGGGAGAATCAGAACAAAGCCTGTGTGAGGGAGTGTCCTCGCATCTCTTCACACCTCCCCCCCCGTTAGTTAGACATGTAATCCCAGTGCTCCGAGGTGGAGGCAGGGGACCAGGAGTTTAAGGTCATCTCTACTATGTATGGAGTTTTAGGCCAACCTGGCTTACACAAGATAACCACCATGGCACTGGAGGTATGTCCCAGTAGTTAAGAGCACTGGCTGCTCTTCCAAGGGACCCAGGGTCCACATGGTGGCTCACAACCGTCTTTAGCTCCTGTTTTAAGGGTTCTGATATCCTCTTGGCTTCTCCAAGTACCAGGCATCTGTGTGGTGCACATACATACATACATACTTACATACATACATGCAGACAAACACCTGTAGACGTAAAAATTAAATAAAAAACCAAAATCTTAAAGAAAAGCAACCTCCATCAATAATCACGTGTTGCATCATTTTTATTGAACTTCTTCTCCCCAGTTTGCCGTGCTGCAGGTGAACCCAAGGCCTCCTTCATGATGGGCAACTAAACTACCCTTCCCGGTCCCTTCCCACGCGGTTTTCTTTGAGACCAAGTCTCAGTATGTAGTCCAGGCTGGCTGCTACTCGGATCTTCCTGTCTCAGCAATTCCCAGTGCTGGGTACATACCACGATGCCCAGTGTGATGGTTAGTTTTAAATGTCAACTTGTGTCAACCTGGGACCATCTGAGACGAGAGCTTCAGCTAAAGCAGTGCCCAGACCAGGCCTGTGGGGATGTCTCTAGGGGACTGGCTTGATTGTTGATTGACATGGGAAGTCCCAGTCCATTGCGGGCAACACCATTCCCTAGGCGCGAGCTCCTACGCTATACAGAAACATGGGAGCACTGGGCGGCTTGGATGCGCTTCTTTCTCTCTGCTTTTGACTATGATGTGACTGATTCCTGACTGAGTTCCTGCCCTGATTTCCCCTCAGTGATGGACCACGACCCTGGCCTCCTCCAAGTTGCTTTTGGTCAGGGTGTTTTATTATGGCAGCGGAAAGGAAACCAGGACACCCAGCTTCTCTCACGTTCTTAATGCATTCTCTGTGTTCCTAAAAACAATCGAGCTCCTGACCTCAGGAGGCAGAGGAAGTCGGAGCTCTGTTAGCTTGAGGCCAGCCTCCTCTACATAGCCAGCACCATTTAGAGAGAGACTGTCTTAAAAACAGAACAAACGAAAAGATCAAGCGAGGCCGCAAGCCCTGCCAGCTGTCTGTCGGCCTGTCTCCTCCTGTTCCCTTCATGCACTTCAGACCATCTGATTTTGCAGTTCCTTCGTTGAAACCAACACGCTATTAGCACATGCTGTCCTTCCGTCACCCACCAGCACCAGAACACTCCCCTCCTTCCATGCTCAACTCCTCCCCGGCTTCCCCACCCCTGCCAAGAGCCATTAATAGCCCCGAGTTGCTCAAGATGCTCATGTGACTACATTCTGTAGCTAAGCTTTTTCGTCAATTGACTTGGGAAGAGTAAAAAAAAACGCCTTCATCTAATTGGCTTGTGGGTAAGTCATTATTTTCTTGACTAATGATGATTGATGTGGAAGGGCCCAGCCCATAATGGGTGCTGCCACCTTTGGGCAGGTGGTCCTGAAATGTATTTTAAAATGCAAGCCATGGAGACCAGACAGGAAACTGTTCCTCCGTGGTCTCTGCTTCGGTTCCTATCCTAGCTGTTCCTTGGCTTCTCTCAAGGGCAGAGTAATCAGGAGTTTAAGATGAAATAAACACTTTCCTTCCTAAGCTGCTTCTGGCCACCGTCTTTATCACAGCAATAGGAAGCTAAGTAGGACAGACTGTTTCCCAGTGAGAGTCTGAGCCCCAAGAGGCCAAGGCAGCTATTTTTGTACCCATTCCTTTCCCTCTCTGCTGTAACAAAAGGCCCAGTAAATAAAAACACCCACTAAAGGCAGCTCCCAAATTCTAAGTTTTCCTTCTCCCCCTCCCCCTCCCCCTCCCCCTTCCTCCCCCTTTCCCCCTTCCTTCCCTTTCTTCCTTGCAGTTTGTTTAGATCTGGTCTCACGCAGCTCAGGCTGTCTATCCAAGAGTGACCTTGTTCTGATGTCACTGCTGGGATTACCGGTGGGGTCACCACACCAGGCAAGACTTTTTTTTTTTTTTTTTTTTTGAGACAGGGTTTCTCTGTGGCTTTGAAGGCTGTCCTGGAACTAGCTCTTATAGACCAGGCTGGTCTCAAACTCACAGAGATCCACCTGCCTCTGCCTCCCCAGTACTGGGATTAAAGGCGTGTGCCACCAATGCCCGGCAAGACTCTTATTCTAAAACTGTTCTGATAGTTGTGTTACAAGTTGTGATTTTTGGACTTGAGATCTGAGACCTAAATCTTCATCCCAGAATCCTTGGCAAGTTCTTTCCCCCATTTAGAAGCAACTTAAGGGGCCGGAGAGATGTCCCAGCGGTTAAGAGTACCTGTTCTTCTTGCAGAGGAGACAGGTGTGGTTTCCAGCACCCACGTGGTGGCTCCTAACCATCTGACTCTAACTCCAGGGGATCTATCTCCCTCTTCTGACCTTAACAGGCACCAGGTACACACACATACATGAAGGCAAACTCATGAGAACCCTCACATACATAAAACTATATAAATCCTCTAGAAAGTTTGGAAACAACTTATTGTGGAAGGTCTTGGAGGGTGTTTGGTGGTCTTTGGGTATCTCAAATTGTTCCCCACAGTGGATCAAAACTGCCTCCCGGAGAGGAGGGTGTCGAAGGCCAAGGCGACCCTACTGGAGTCCCGCCCAAGGCGCCGCCTGAACCAGACCACTTTTTCTCTCCAACCCTCTGGCTCTTAGCAGAGATGGCTCTGAAACACAGGTCAAGTTACAGGAAATATTAGTAGTTGTACGTGTTTCTTCCACATGTCTCGTTCTGTGATGTGTAACTCACCAAAATGTCCGTGGGTTCATCAGCTGTGTTTTTTAAGGCCTTTTAAAACTCCAAAGCTGACAGTTTGGTGGCTCAGGTTTGCAGGTGACCCCAGCATTTGGGAAGCCGAGGCAGGACCGTCTCAGGTTAAAGGCCAGCCTGAGCTATATAGTGAACTCCAGAACAGCCTGGACTACAGAATGGGACCCTGTCTCAAAACAAAAACGAATAAATAAAAGCATAAAAACATCTCCCAAAGCTAAAATACAGCGGAGAATTTTCTGTCACGGAAGCAAGGCCGGGGAGGCCAGGGAAGTCTCCAGCAGACGAATCCATCTGCCACTGATCATGGGGCGGGAGTCGTGGCACAGGGGAGGCTAGCAAGAGGGGCAGTCTGAAAACCATGAAGATCCATGTCCTCCCGAGCACCCAGGGCGCTGTCCCCAAGAGTGCCCACAGCCCTTCTCCCAAGCCCTACGCCTGTTAGCTGTGGCACGGCTGGGCTGGGTCCGGAGACTCAGGATAGGTCTTCAGGGGACACAAAAAACAGAGAATAGCCTCCAGGAGTATCCTCAAGGTGGCCTTGGGGCAATGGCCTTGGCTCCTGTGGGCAGGCTGCGGTTGCGGCCCAAAGAACTAGACTGAAGCGCGGCTCCATGGCAGGGTACAGCCGCGTACCCCTCTTCCCCGGCTCAGCCCGGCCGCGTGACCTTGGGACTGAGGATGAGCATTAGTCCTGCACAGCTGCGACTGCGCAGCAGCCAGATACTGGTTGGATATTCTCTCAGGATCTGAACACAGACCCGCCTCTGTCCTATTGGGGAAGTCGAGGCAGGGATTGAACTCTCAACTTTCAGATCCCTCCTTAAAGCAAAACAGGCAGGGAGACGAGAAATAGCTGGGGGCTAAGAAGCCCATCTTTGGCCTCCGCAGGTCCACGATTGCAAACTTGACCTTTCTTTTCGTTTCAAAACCCCTAGCTCCCCTCCCTTCCCAAGCAAGCGTCGCCACAAACCACCCTCAATTTACATGCATTTTGGGGGGGGGAGGGTCTTTTTTCACACTCTGAAATATATGGAAAGCTCTGTCCCTGCCACGCCTTAGTTGGAGACCCTTGAGTTGGAGTTGGGTGGGAAGAAAACGGAGAAGTTTTGCTAGCAGCGAACTTTTGCTGAAAGGCGACGTCCCCACTGTCCACTGTCCCCTGAGTGGACCTCCATTCCTGGATTGGAATAAACAGCTGAAGAGTGAAGGAGAGGGAGCAAGGTGTACGCTGATTGGACTTGAGTCACAGAAAACAAGTCAGAGAGCATGTCTAACAAGGACGAAAATCTGCGGGCCTGGTGGGACTTTGCTCTGGGTTTTGGCCACTTGACTTGGTCAGCATGGTGGCAGCTGAGCACGTGCTAAGTGCAGGAGCCGGCAGTGACCAGGCTGTGGGCAGAGTGCTGGACCCAGACCAGCCTCTGGTGACTTACCCTACCCTGCAAAGGAAGAGCACAGGTATTTACTGCTTTCCCTGTAGTGAAAAGTGTATCTCTCCGGGCCACCCAGAGTTCCCTAAAAAGACAAAATAAAAATTCCTCCTCAAAAAGTGTTACTTGGAGCCAGGGATCAGCTCAGCAATTGGCGCCTATGAACTCAACTCAGTCTCCAGCACAAATAATAAAAGTATTAGCAAAGAAGACAATAATAATAGTTTTGGCATGGTTACTTGGCAAATAACTGACTCTCCACTAGGGACACTTGGCTGTAGACCACTTGGCTAGGTCTCTACGGCCCCATCCGTTGCCCCATTGTCTAATGTGGTGTTGGGCTAGTGACAGCTGCTTGTGTCCATGTGTCCCAGACAGAAATAACCTTTCTAGTCACTCTTCAGGAACATGACTGGTGGAGACTTGAGCAGTGGAGAAAACACCAAGGGGCTGTTTCCCCTGGGTACCATGCTGAGCCTGCAACTTCAAGCGACCCACTGGTTTAGCCAAACTCTCAACGCTTAAGTCAAAAAAGCAGAAGCAAAAGGAGGGGCCAGTTGCCCGGTGCCCGAAAGGGTTATTCTGATTTAGACTGGCAATAAAAACGCAATTGGCTGGGAGTTGGCGTGACCAAAGTACAGCCTAAATGTCTTCCCTCTCCACACAGCACAGCTGGCACTCTGAGGAGGTGAGCGAGCGGCAGGCTGCCCTTGAAGAGCAATGATGGAGAAAGATCAAGAGGCGAGGGAAGGGGTGAGTTTGTGCATGGCTGACAGCAGCCAGAGCCGGGGAGCCTGCTCAGCTGTGCTCGGGACTCCCCGGGGCTCTGGTGTGGCAGGGCCGGCCTTCAGCTGGATGGGCTGTCTGGAAGAGGGCAGCTGGGCTTTTATAGTCGTAGGTGTGATGTTTATAGACAGATGCCCGTTAGAAATCATGCCACTGGAACATCTGGTGAGACCGTCCCTGTAACTGGGCTGGGGGTGGCGGTTCAACTTGTAGCGTGCTTGCCCAGAATGCATGAAGTCCTGGGTTCGAGCCAGGTAATGGTGGCACACACTGGTGTCTGAGCACTTAGGAGGTAGCTAGAGGCATAAGGATAAGGAGTTTGAGGTTAACCTCGGCTACAAAGGGAATTCAAAGCCAGCCTAGGATAGAGACCCTGTGCCAAAATAAAATAAAAACCTTTTTTTCCTTGTCCAAACACAGTGTGGCTGGGGGCTAGGAAATATGAATCAATGGACACTTTCAAGGAACTTGCAATCTTCTCAGTAGCCTTTGCTAATGAGTAGGTGGGGAGAAACGCACATCCGTGCAAACTATTATTTACTGAGGTCCATAAGGCACGCGACAGGAAGCATGGCCTGCAGCATATAGAGCGGGAGTGGACTTGGGAGGGAGAAGCCCCTGCTGTCGGATCCAGCAACTTCGCACCTGAGTTGTGGTTAAGAGTCTGACAAGATATTCAATTGAGGTAATTTAGTTATTGAGACAGTTTGTGCAGCCGAGGCCGGCCTCAAACTTCCTGATCCTCCTGCCTCTACCTCCCAAGTGCTAGGCCTGTAGATGGGCACCACCCCACCTCGCTGTTTAACTCTTTTTGTGTCTTCTCATCCATAAAATGGGCTGATGGCCGCTCCCTCTCCTGGGTGCCAGAACAGTTAGACAACGCAGTTAGTGAAGGGTCTGACCAGGAGGAAATGTGCCTGTCGATATTACTGCTTGGTTTATCCTATGAAGCAGGTGACCTCACTATTGCCATTCGACACAGGGCATCTCTGGGGCTGTCTAGAGTGATGGGGGCCATCCCGAATGATGGGGGCCGTCCCTGCCTCTACCCACTTCATTTCTGGTGTGATAAACAAATGCCCTCCAGAGGGCAGAATAGGCCTCTCCTTCCCTGCAACCCAGAATCACTGTTCTAGCGTTTACCCAGGGACTTCCCTGGCATTATCTAGTCTCGTTCTGGTTTTGCTTCTTGTTTGTTGATTTTCCGGTGCTGGGGGCTTTAACCCAGAGCCTCAGGCACGCTAGGCGAACTCTACCCCCAGTCACTTTCTCCCTCTCAGTTTAAAATAGGGGCTCTCTGAATTGTCTAAAGTGGCCTTGAACTTGTGGTCCACCTCCCTCAGCCTCCCAGGCGGCTGAGACTACAGGCCTGTGCCACCAGGCAATCTGTCTGGGATTGCCATGGATGAGAAGGTGTTGGCCAGGTCAAGTGCCATCTCCTGTATTTGAAAAGAAGTCACCTGAGGCTAAGGACTTGAATGTTTGGGGACACAAGAGACGCTGTGTTTACTGCTCAAGGAGGAGCGATGTCCCTGTGTGGTGTGCTCTGCAGAGGAGCGGTCAGTGGAGGGGGACAACTCAGACAGACACTAGCATGGGTATAAGCATGGCATGCCCAGAATGAAGCCAGGCATGGAGCCTGGGGGATTAGGAGGAGCCAGAGACACAGAGGTTGTGTGATTTTTCTGGGAAGAGTCCAGAAAACAGTTGGGTCCAGCTGTCCCTCTGTAGCTGTGCAGCTCTGGCCTTGAACCTACTTAAGAACTGTTGAATACAATTGCCTTTTTCCTACAAAATAGGGCTTTGGACAATGAAGACGTGTTTTGTGAAGTGTCCTGGACGGAATCACTTGCCCTCTGTCCTCCCTAGGTCCTCGTTGCTGTTTTGTTTTACCTGACTAATGAGCCCACCCGTGTGTGCTACTTACCATAGATCAGCTGGGATTGGGAGGGAGGGAGCGCCTCCTTCCCTGCATCCTGGAATCACACCTAACTGGGTCAACCCCAATGATGGGCATTTTACTGAAGCTTCAAGATGTTTCCCCAGTAATTTGGGGAGAGTGGAGTGCTGGGGAGGGCTGGGAGAGTGGAGCCCTGTGTGCTCAACCAGGACGCTGTCACTGAGCCAGGTCCTGGTCCAAATCCTTTTCCTCCCTGTCCTCGAAAGGAGGAAAATGAAAAAGAAAGAAAGTTGGAATGAGACTGCATGCAACTCACGAAGCAGAGGATTCGACTATGTAAAAATGCAGTTAATCACTCTCAAGGAAATGAAGGGATTCCCATCTCTTTGCTGCCTGGACGGCCACACTGAGTGGCAGAGTCAGGCACAGAAAGATACAAGCCACCAGGTTATCAGATACAGTGCGGGCCAGAAGAGTGGCTCCAGGGGCCTGGGGAAGAGGGAATGGGCGATGCTGCTCGGGGATACAAAGTTTCTGTTGGTGGGACGAGCTAGCCAGCGAGATGTCAGGGCCTGCGATTGCTGTTAGTGATGGGCAGCACACCAACCTACCGTGTTGACTGTAGTTCATCCTCCTTGGGTGCTTGGGATTCACTGAATGCATTTCACAAGTCTTCACTGCACACATCCACAAAGATAACTGCATGTGGTGTTGGGTGTATCCATGAGCTAAACTGTGCTGATCGTTTTGCAAAGTGTGTGTAAACACTGAGTTATACACCATAAAGAAAAGCCAGACCTGCCTGCTGCTTGGAAGGCTGGGTCACAAGGAACACAAATTCAGTGTAAGCCTGGGCTATAGAGAGAGTTCAAGGTCAGCCTGGGCAACTTAAAGACACTCTCCACCCATCTCAAAATAAAAGGTAAATAAAATAAAAGGTAAAGGGGGGATTAATTTGTAAATCTTCCCACACACATACATTGCTATTTTTGACCAAGAATGAAAGCCTCCTGGATTGCTGCTAATTGATGTTCAGTCCTGTTGGCCCTATGGTTCCAGAAGGGAAAAGGAGAAAGGACCCAGCTTGGGAGCAAAAACTGGTCAGTTTTGGTATCATAGGTGGAATGGGCCCTCAAGAGCTTACACACCTCATCCAGGAATTAAAAAGCTGCCAGGGGGCTAAAGAGATGCTCAGCCTTAAGAGTGCTGGGTGCCCTTCCAAAGGACACAAGTTCATTTCCCAGCACCCACAATGGGCAGCTCACAACTGTCTGTGATTCCAATTCCAGTGGATCACTACTCTGGCCTCTTTGAGTGCCTGTATTCATGTGCAAATGCCCACATACATATACAAAATTAAAGTAAATATTTTTTTGAGATAGGGTTTCTCTGTGTAGCTTTGGCTGTCCTGAAACTCACTCTGTAGACCAGGCTGACCTCAAACACAGAGATCCGCCTGCCTCTGCCTCCCGAGTGCTGGGATTAAAGGCGTGCACCACCGATGGCCCAGCTAAATCTAGTTTTAAAAGCCACAGGTCAGCAGTGCTCATGGGGTTGATTTGGTGCCTTTTTCTTTTGGTGTGTGGCATCCATTGTTAGGCCCTTATATAAAAAGGCAGGGAGTCGAGCGTTGGTGGCACACGCTTTTAATCCCAGCACTCGGGAGGCAGAGGCAGGAGGATCTCTGTGAGTTCGAGGTCAGCCTGGTCTACAGTGCGAGTTCCAGGACAGCCTCCAAAACAATACAGAGAAACCCTGTCTCGAAACAAAACAAAACAAACAAACAAAAAAGGCAGGGACTGTTGGGGACCCACTTCTGAGGAAGTGAGCAATACCTCTGCTGGGAGGGTCCCCAGCCCATGGGCTCACTTGTTGGAGATTGAGGGAAATCTCTGGAGCTGGAGACAGAGATATGAAAGCCTAGAACTCTTCTAAGAGCCTATCCATCATCAAGACCTGTTCTTGAAAGCCAAGCATGGACTAGATGTGGTGGCGCACGCCTTTAATCCCAGCACTCCGGAGGCAGAGGCAGGCAGATCTCTGTGAGTTTGAGGGCAGCCTGGTCTACAAAGTGAGCTCCAGGACAGCCAGGACTGTGTAGAGAGAGAGAAAGGGAGAGGGAGAAAGCAAGAGCCAGCCAGGCGTGTGACTCACACCGACAATGCCAGAACTTCGGGAGGCTGAGACGAGATAATCAAAAATTCAAGGCCAGCCTGGGCAACTTAACAAGATCTGTCTCAAAGCATAGCAAAACAAAATCCCAGAAGTGCTGGTGGAAAACTTGGTTAGCAGTTTTCCAATCAATGTTCCATCCACCCACCCATCCATCCACCCACCCACCCATCCATCCACCCATCAGCCAATTAAGCCAGGCATCTGTCTAGGTGCTGGTTATACAGTGGTGAGCAAACCTGACAAAAGACCCTCCCAGTGGCCGTTGATTTTGTCTGTAAAGAAGGAAGTGACCAAGGGGTCTAGATGACTCAGAAGGTAAAGGCACTTAGCAGGCAAGCGTGCTGGCCTGAATGTGATGCCTGGAACCCACGTGACAGCGGGAAAGAAAAACCAAGTCCTCGAGAGCTGTCACATGTAGCCCTGGGGTACACTCGCGCGCGCGCACACACACACACACACACACACACACACACTTGCTCACACATAGGTGCTTTTGGTACACACATGCAGACTCACACACAGGTGCTTCCAGTGCACATAAATACACACAGAGACTCATACACAGGTGCTCTTGGTGCACACACACATATGCACACACACAGAGACTCATGCACAGGTGCTCCTGGTGTACACACACACACACACACACACACACAGACTCACACACAGGTGCTCCTGGTGTACACACACACACACACACAGACTCACACACAGGTGCTCCTGGTGTACACACACACACACACACAGACTCACACACAGGTGCTCCTGGTGTACACACACACACACACACAGACTCACACACAGGTGCTCCTGGTGTACACACACACACACACAGACTCACACACAGGTGCTCCTGGTGTACACACACACACACACACACAGACTCACACACAGGTGCTCCTGGTGTACACACACACACACACACAGACTCACACACAGGTGCTCCTGGTGTACACACACACACACACACACACAGACTCACACACAGGTGCTCCTGGTGTACACACACACACACACAGACTCACACACAGGTGCTCCTGGTGTACACACACACACACACACACAGACTCACACACAGGTGCTCCTGGTGTACACACACACACACACACAGACTCACACACAGGTGCTCCTGGTGTACACACACACACACACAGACTCACACACAGGTGCTCCTGGTGTACACACACACACACACACAGACTCACACACAGGTGCTCCTGGTGTACACACACACACACACACAGACTCACACACAGGTGCTCCTGGTGTACACACACACACACACACACAGACTCACACACAGGTGCTCCTGGTATGTGAGTACTACAGAGGGCCAGTTGCAGCTGTATCAAGCCAGTTGTAGTGAGCTGGCTGTAGAGGCATTTGCTGGAAGTCCTGGCTACTCAGGAGGTTGAGGCAGGAGGATTGCTTGAGCCGAGGAGTTGGAGAACAGTCCGGATAATGCAGGGGGTTAGAGGAATGCCTGACCGAGAGCCTGTTCTAGCCTCAGTGGGTCAGTCTTATGATAGAGAGTAGCTGGAAGACCAGGGGTGACCTGAGAACAGCTGTGTGCATGCTGAGGGTACAGCAGGGGTCTCCCTGGGCCCCTCCCTGACATCCACCCTACCTCTCCAGAAGCTGACCCTGGTGCTGGCCCTGGCAACATTGATAGCTGCCTTCGGTTCATCCTTCCAGTATGGGTACAATGTGGCTGCTGTCAACTCACCGTCAGAGGTAGGTAGGTCACTGTGTTAAGTGAGCCACAGCTGCTGACATGGGGAGGGGCTTAGAGGGGCCTGTGGTCCCCGGAGAGCAAACACAGCCTACCCCTTAAGGGAAAGGACAGGAAAGTCCCTGTGGGACCCAGACCAGGTGAGTGACAAAGTTCTCAGACCTCAGATTCGCACAAACGTACATTCTGTGGCCTGGCAGTGTGTGGAGCCATCTGGAAGGCAGCGGCCACACCATCTGGAAGGCTGCAGCCACTCCAGGGAGCGAGAGACACCACAGGCATTGTCCTGCCGGAGTTCTTCCCATGGGTGTTCCAACCCGCACACTATCCAGGCAGCTCCGTCCCTAACTATAGTAGCGCTGTCCCCATCCAGCTAAACGCCCCTGTTGGTTCTCTCTGTGAGATGAGCTCAGCTGGTTCTGTTGGTCTGTGCCCTCTGCCCCACAGCTCATGCAACAGTTTTACAACAACACCTACTACGAAAGGACCCAGGAGATCATCGAATCTGTCTCCTTGACACTGCTGTGGTCCGTGACGGTGTCCATGTTCCCCTTTGGAGGCTTTATAGGTTCTCTCCTGGTTGGCCCCTTAGTGAATAAAATGGGCAGGTAAGACATGAGGAGGTTGGCTTGGGGTACGTGTGGTGTGTGTGTGTGTGTTAAATGCACTTACTAGTGTTGGTATGTGCATGTAAGCATGCTTGTGCGCGTGCAAGCATGTGTATGTGTGGAAACTAGCAGTAAAAGTTGAGTGTTTTTCTTCTATTGCTTTTTACCTTAAAAACATTGATTTATTGTTTTTTATTTCCTGTGTATGAGTGTGCTGCCTGCGTGTGTGTGCCTGTGCACTGCCCGTGTGTCTGGTGCCTGATGAGGCCAGAAGAGGGCGCCGGATCCCCTGGAACTGGAGTTAAGGACTGCTGTGAGCCTCCATGGAGTCCTGGGACTGGAACCCAGGTCCTCTGCAAGAACAGCAAGAATTCTGAACCACTAGGCCATCTCCCCATCCCCTTCCTCATTTTTTTATACTTTTGGTTGTAAGCCTAACCTTTATCGGCTCAGCCCTTCATCGTCTTTTTAAAAGATAGGGTCTCACTGTGTTAGCCCCGGTTGGCCTCAAATTCAGACAACCACCTACTTCTACGCGAAGGCATTCTCCCCACAAGGGCCCCAGCCTTCATTTCTTAGGACGGCGCCTCACGGAGCCTTGAAGCTGCTTGGCTTGGCCTGGCCGGCTGCTCAGTGTTGGTCAGAGCCCTGCCCGTCCCCTGTTCCTTGCCCCTGCTGCCTCCATTGCTGGGGCTACAGTCGCACCGTGCCTGGCTTTTTAAATGTGTTCTGGGGATCAGCATGCAGGTCCCCGAGGGCGCCCAGTAGGCACCTTATTGCTGGGCCATCTTCGCAGCCTTTGTTTTTGAAACAGGGTGCCCTGGTGCCCAGGTTGGCCTCACACTCGCTATATAGTCAAGGGTGATCTTGAACTCCTGATTTTCCTACTTCTTCCTCCCAGCTGATGGGATTGCAGTCATGAGCCAGCCTGTCTCATTGGGGTGGGTAGATTTTTATTGCCGCAGACTTACAGATAGCTTTTAAACGTGAGCCTAAAACTCAAGTCCTTATTGTGAGGTGAGGACAATAACCAGGATGGCAAATTTTACTTTCTATTAGGGTCTGTCAAAGAAACAGGCCAATGAGTAATGCTTGGGAAGCTATACAAGGGACCTAGGTGAGATTATTTCTAAACTAATCCCAGCACTCAGGAGGCAGAGGCAGGCAGATCTCTGTGAGCTCGAGGCCAGCCTGGTTTACAGAGCACGTTCCAGGACAGCTAGGGCTGTTACACAGAGAAACGCTGTCTCAAACAAAACGAAACGACGAAAAAAATTTTTCTTAAGTATGTATGCACACATATACATACATGTGCACACACAGACACAGGAGTTTTAGCTGGCTTTTGTTTGTTTGCTTGTCTTATTGGTCCTGAGGCTGTGGTGGTAGAAGCCACGAGGCCTCATGCATGAGAAGGAGGCATTCCATCGCTGGCCACATCTCCAGCAGAGAGCTGCAGGTGCCCATGTACCTTAAAGCTGTGCCGAGACCTCTGGACAGGTGGTCCTGTCTTCCTTTGTTTGGTTTGGGGTTTTCGTTTTTTGTTTTGTCTTTGCTGTTTGGTCCCCCCCACCCCGCCAAACAATATTTTTTCAGATCCACTTCTATGCATATAGGTGCTCTGTCTGCATGTACGCGTGTATCCCGTGTGTGAGCCTGTTGCCTACAGAGATCAGAAGAGGGCATCAGGTCCCATGGAACTGGAGTTAGACGAAGCTGTGAGCCACCACGTAGGCTCCAGGAATCGAACCTGGGTCTCACGGAAGAGCAGCTAGTGCTCCTAACCACTGAAGCCCACTTTTGCTTTGAGTTTTGGTGGCAAGTTTTAGATGGCAATCCTCCTAAAATGTGTGATTATGGAGTTTAGAACATGAGCCACTATGCCAGGCTCTACTTATGTCTTTCATGGATTTTTTTGTTTGTTTTTGTTTTTGTTTTTTCGAGACAGGGTTTCTCTGTGGAGCTTTGGAGCCTGTCCTGGAACTCACGCTGTAAACCAGGCATTCACAGAAAAATTGGCCTTTCTTAAGATTATTGTTTAGCCGGGTGGTGGTGGCGCACGCCTTTAATCCCAGCACTCGGAGGCAGAGGCAGGCAGATCTCTGTGAGTTTGAGGCCGAGCTGGACCAACAGCCTCAAAAACAATACAGAGAAACCATGTCTCGTAAAAACAAAAAAAAATGATTATTGTTTAACTTCTTTTATGTTCATATTGGTTTTTTTGTTTTAATTATTATGTTTTCCCAACTGTCTTGTATCTTCATTTTAAGCGCCATTTCTCTCTCTCTCATGCATTATACTTTGGCGTTGTATCTAAAAAACGCATTGTGAAGCCGCCTAGATTTTACACTTCTAGAATTTTTTTAGTCTTATATTATTTTTGTCTCTTACTGGATTACTATTAGTGAAGGGTACAAAATCCTCGTCTGGATTCATTTTTATTTGTTTGTCTGGGTTTTTGAAATCCTTATTCTTCATTTTATTTTACACTGTCTGGGTGTTTTGCCTGCATGTGTGTCTGATGCCCAAGGAGAGCAGTAGAGAGCATCGGATCCCCTGGAGCTGGAACTACAGATGGTTTGTGAGCTGCGGTGTCCGTGCTGGGAATCGAACCAGGGTCCTCTACAAGAGCAGAGTGGTCTTAACCGTGGAGCCGTCTCTCCAGTCCACTCGCTTCGTTTTTGGTTTTCGTTTTGATTGTCCTGCTGGAACTGAATCGGGGCCCCAGCCCAGGCTGGGCAGCTACTCTCCCACCCAAGCCACATCCCCAAGATTTGTTTGTTTTTGAGACAAAGTCTCCACCCTGTGTCTCCAGGTTCGGCTTGAACCGCTGGGCTCCAGGCATCCACACGTTCCAGTCTTCTGAGTGCCACACCCCCTGACACCACAGCAGGTCAACTGAATTTATTGCACCTTAGGATGAGTCCGTTCCCCTCTGTTTCCCATCACCAACAGCAGGAGATGCACTCTTCAGTTCCGGTCCCGCTGAAGCGCACCGCTGTAACCAGGGCACGCTGCTCTGAGCGCACGTTAAGGGGTGTTTGTCGACTGCCGTGAATCGGTGATGAGTGAATGGTGAAGTGAATGAATGAATCCTTAAGCTAACCTGGCTTCTCGCCACATCTTCTACAGAAAAGGGGCCTTGCTGTTCAACAACATATTCTCCATCGTGCCTGCCATCCTGATGGGGTGCAGCAAAGTCGCCAAGTTGTTCGAGCTTATAATCGCCTCCAGACTTATTGTTGGGATATGTGCAGGTAAGGAACTGTGCCCCGCAGTGCCACCCAGCACGAGGAGGCAGAACTGACCCCCAGGGATCAGATGCCGTTTGGGACCTCAGGGAGCACGGAGACCGAAGCAGACCCTACGCGGGCGGGCACTTGAGTGTGTGCCTCATCCTCATGGGTGGGCAGTGGGCAGAGCTTCTCAGCACTGCTTCCCGCAGGGAAAGCTCTCTCTGGCTTTGTTTATTCCAAGGCTGGGATTGAACCCAGGACCCTGTGGAAGCTAGGTGAGCGCTCTATCTCTGAGCCACAATTCCCAGCCCAAGAAAGATGTTCTTTGTAGGAAATACACTATAAATCCTGAGTTCGGAAGGGCTAGTCTCATCCTTCCTTTCAGTATCTCAGTGTTGGTCTGTCGGAGGGTAGTGTTGGTCAGAGGGTAGTGTCAGCAGGAGGGTAGTGTCGTCTACTTGGTGAGCAGCACCTTTGATAGAGTGGACTGTCCTATGTCACAAGAGCAGAAAGGCCTCTTGGAATTTTGTTTCAGTCATTGTTCATCTGTGCATTTGTGGGGGAGCAGAGTTGAATGATAGATTTCTGTATTTTTTTAAGTGTGGTTTGTGGTCTTTAAAAAGTTGCGGAATTTGGGCCGGGCAGTGGTGGCGCATACCTTTAATCCCAGCACTCAGGAGGTAGAGGCAGGTAGATCTCTGTGAGTTCGAGACCAGCCTGGTCTGTGAGTTCCAGGACAGCCAGGGCTACACAGAGAAAGGGGTGGGGGTGAAGCTGGTTTGTAACCCACTTGCTGCCTTCATGGGACATGTGCATTAGTTTTAGAAAGCACTCCCCGCATTGCTTAGAAATGGAGACATTTTTAAAGTCACGCTGGTGGCTTCCCCAACAGTCAGCCTTTCCCAGTGCCCAGCCAGGAGGGACTTTGCCAGTTCTCAGGGACCTTCAAGAAGCAGGGCAGACACCTCCTGAACTCTGGGTGATCTCAGAGCGACCTCTCCTGCCAAATGTGGGATAGGCACAGAGGGATGACCTGGTAGACATAAACAAATCCCTAGAGCTCATTAGCAGGCAGCGAAGTCTGAAAGCTGGGGGCACACACCTGGGATCCCAGCACTCTGTGAGTTTGAGGCCAGCCTGGTCTACAACAGTTAGCTCAGGCCAGCCAAAGTGAAAAGCCACCAGACAGGGTGGTATGGGGAAAAAAAAAACTAGCTGTGGAGCAAATTTCACTCAGCACTGAGTTGATGCACACACACACACACACACACACACACACACAGACACACATGCACACACAAACGTAAATGTAATTTAAAAATCTTAACCTAAGCTGGACCTGGTGGCACGCACCTACATTATCAGGTTCAAGGTCCGCTTGGATCGCAGAATGAGTTCTCCATTAGCTTGGGCATACCCTGTCTCAAAACAAAACAAAAAGTAAAAGAGGGCTGGAATGTAGCTCCCTGGTAGAACATTTGCCAGCAAGATCAAACCCCTGGGCCCCTTCACAGCGCACACACACAAATAAATTATCACCTACAGAGATGAGGCTCCTAACTATACTAACACCCGACAGGCTGAGGCAGGAGGATTACCAGTTTGAGGCTAGCCTGGACCGTGTAAATGCAGCAAGGCCTCAATTGTTTTGTTTTCATTTGTTCGTATTTGCTTTTGAGACAAGGTGTCCTCTGTAATCCACACTGACCTCAAACTTTAAGCAATCCTCCTGCATCAGGCTCGGAAACAAAGCGCTAGCATGCACCAGCACGCTGGCCAAGACCTTTGGGGGGGACCCCAACCTTTATGCTTCAGAAGCACACTTTTAGTAAACGGTTTGTCTCATACTTTTCCCATTTGCATATTTACTCGGGGGCGTGGCACTCGTGCCATGGGTCACGTGTGGCGATGAGAGAACGATTTCTCAGAGTCCGTTTTCTCTGCTGCTGCTTGTGATCAATCGGTCTTTGTTTCCAAACGACGTCAGTGTTTGGGTCTTGACAGCAGTCATCTTTTCTCACTGAGCCTTCGCCCCTCTCCCAGATTTTCGGTCTCACGTCTTCTTATCATACTTAAAATAATCGGGAGTTCCGTGGGGCTCACAGAGATGGGTCAGAGGTTAAAAGCACTGGCTGCTTTTGCAGAGGACCTGGGTTCATTTCCCAGCACCCACATTGGGTAGCTCACAACTGGCTATAACTTCACTTCCGGGGGACCCAAGGTCCTCTCCTGGTCTCCCTGGGCACCGCATGCATGTGTTAGGGGTCACACACAGTTTTTATGAAAAACAATCAACCAGAAACACAAAACAAAACACCTGCCAGGTGTGCTGGTCTACCCAAGACTCTGCCTCAAGACAAATCGTATGTTTACGTTTTAAGACAAGTTCTGTAAGAAGAGTGACTTACTCCACATCCCCACAAACCACTTTAATACCTGTCTTAACAGCAGACAGTTGGATTTTCTTTTTGTTTTCCTGAGACAAACGATAAGTTGTATTTATACAGTGACTAAGTACAGTCAGCCAGAGCACAAAACCGACCACCATCCCCGGGACTGAGAAACATCCGGGTGAATTCTTCCGGGGGGTGTTTAGGAAGGGCACGGTGGCGTGTTCCGCACACATGGCAGTGGCCAGTGCAGCAGGTGACAGGGACGTGTGCTGGATGGCCTGAGGGAGGAAGTGGCTCAAGGGAAACAGTTTCAACCTCAGAGATGCCCTGGGAGGTCCTCGCCTAGCTCCTGGACCCAGCAGTGTGGCGCCATCCGTTTGAACTCAGCTTCTCATTCCTCATGGTGTGACCAGGCTTCCTGCGGCTTGGACCACCAACGCCAACCACTTGGTTCACCCCCAGAAGGATGAAGTAAACAGCCCCGCTGTGAGTGAGGAGCAAAGGTAGCTGAGCCTTGTCTTCCAGAGGTTCACGGTTCATGGGTTTGTTGTTGATCAACCCCTTGGCAAGAAGACTGAAGGCTTTCCCTGGCCAGAAGGAATGCAGACATCACAAGCCCCCGATCCAACTCTCGGGTCTACCTGGTAGAGTTAGCCGTGGGCTATCCCTGTAATTTTAGACCTGGAGGCCTGAGACAGAAGGAGCTCTAGTCTGAGGCTAGCAAGAGCTACATAGCAAAACACCTCCCGCCAAAAAATATGCAAATTAGAGATTGCTTCCAGCCTTGTAAACGTCTTAAAGAAGACACACGTACCAGGGTTTTGTGTTTGTTTTCATGTTGTTGTTGTTTTCATTTTTTTCACATTAATTTTTGGGCGTGTGTGTGTGTGTGTGTGTGTGTGTGTGTGTGTGTGTGTGTGTGTGTGTGTGTATGAGGGGCACACATATGCCACCCCAAGCTTATGGAGGTCAGAGGATAACTTGGAGGAGTCATTCTCTCTCTCCACCCTGTGGGTCCTGGGAATCAAATTCAGGTTGTTAGATTTTGTACCAAGTGCCTTTTCCTAACAAACCATCGAGTCGGCCCTATTGGCTTTTGTGACACCGTTTACTACATGGTCTTGGCTGACCTGGAACTTGCTATATAGACCAGGCTGACTTAGAACTTGCAGCAATCCTCCTCTGTATGCTCAAGTGCTGAAGTTAGAGGTAAACACCACAGCGTGGAGCTAAATTGCAAAATTGCTGACTTACCTTCATATTGTCGATGGAACCCAAGGACTTGTGCGTCCTAAACAAGGACTCTACCACTGAACTATACTCCCAGCATCCCAGCTATTCTTTTATTCCATTCAATAATTTATTTACTTTTATTTCATGTGCATTGATGTCTGTGTGAGGGTGTCATGTCAGATCTTGGAGTCACAGACAGGGTTGTGAGCCGCCATGTGGGTGCTGGGAACTGAACTCAGGTCCCGCTGCAAGGGCAGCCAGGTCTCCTAATGGCCAAGCCACCTCTCCAGTTCTTTAGTTTTTATTTCTCAGGGTTTTTCATATTTCTATTTATTTATTTTGTGGGAGGAAGCAGGCATGTCCCTCTCTCTTTCCACTGTGTGTGTCCCGCAAACTGACTCATTATGAGGCTGGCAGTAGGCGCCTTTATCCACTGAGCCCATTCAGCAGCCTCCAACTTCATCTGTTCCTAAAAGAGCCATATTCTGATGTGATGGGAAATTTTACAAGATTAAATAGTTGGGATCTGGAGAGATGGCTCAGTTCCTACACCCATGCCGGTGCAGTCTGGGGTGGGGGTGGAGGTGGAAGGTCTCTGTGTAGAGGTTTACTGTGCAATGTGCTGTCCCCAGAAAGTGAACTGATGGGCAGGGATGTTGCTGTGCTCTTTAGTGATAGATTTTTTTTCTCTCTCTCTGTCTGTCTGAGGCAAAAGAGAGGAACATGTCTAATGCTCATCCTCTCTGAGGCCCCAGCCAATCAGAAGCAAGGACACAGGCTGCAACCCCAGGCGACACCAGTCAAAAAGCAAACACTCCTGTTAGGGACGTCGCTAATGGGCTTTCTTTCCTCGAAGTTTAAGGAACTGGAAATTAGAAGAGGTGTTTGTGAGGGCCACTCATTTACTGTGTTATGATAGGCGCGTGTGAGAGGTGGGGCCCACGTGTGTGTGTGTGTGTGTGTGTGTGTGTGTGTGTGTGTGTGTGTGTGTGTGTGTGTGTAGGCTGCAGGTCCTCCGCCGACGGCATGCTACACATTGCTTTCTCACTGAACCTGGAGCTCACTGACTAGGCCAAGCTAGCTGACCTGCAGGCCCCAGAGGTCTGCCTGCCTCCCTGACCCCCGGCCCTGGGATTACCAGTATGTTCCCCTAATGCCTGCACAACAAGTACCTTACCAACGGAGCTATGCCCAGTTTAGGGAGGGCTGGGCTGGAGAGCGTGTCTGGTGAGGCAGGGTGTGTCCCTGAAGACACGGTCTGTCTCCCCCAGACTCTTTCTGCTTGTATTCTCATTTCAGTTCTCCTTCAGGTATATCTTCCAACGTGGTCCCTATGTACTTGGGGGAGCTGGCACCTAAAAACCTGCGAGGGGCCCTCGGGGTGGTACCTCAGCTCTTCATCACGGTCGGCATCCTCGTGGCCCAGCTGTTCGGCTTTCGGAGTCTCTTGGCAACTGAGGAAGGTGAGAACAGAGCCCTGGCCCTGCCCTCTGACCCCCAAAGCCCCTCCTACTGCCACACTGGGAGCTGCCACCCGCTGGCTTTCCTATTCTGTCCCGTGAGGACTGTCCTTGGTGCCACGCCCTGTTCCTATCCCACCACGCACATTGTAGGCCCTGAACAAGTGCGTGGTGACACAGTCCCAGCAAGGTGTCTCAGCTGAAGAGGAAGGACCATGATGTCCCTAGAACTACTAAGTGGCTGTCCAGGTACTCAGAGGCACACAGGAACTTGTAGATGGCGTCATTACCTCCTCTCTCTCTGTCTTGAGTCTTGGGCTCCTTTTATCCTTTTAGAAACACAGTCTCATATTGCCGAGGCTGGCCTCAAACCCACACTGTAGTCAAAGATGGCCTTGAACTCCTGGTCTCCTGTCCCCACCCCAACTTCTATGCAGGGCTGAAGACCAGTTCCAGAGACTTCTGCACATGCTAGGCAAATACTCTACCAATGGAGCCCAGCCCTTCCCCCTCCCTTCTCTTCTCTTCCCTTCCCTTCCCTTTCTTTCCCTTCCCTTCCCCTTCCTCTTCCTTCCCCTCCCCTCTCCCTTCTCTTCCTCTCCCTCTCGTCCCCTCCCCTCCTCTTCTCTTCCTTTCCCTTCCTTCTTGTCTTCCTTTCTGATCCTTGAGCTTCTGAGAGGGGAGACCAGTCTCAGTGACAACACCAGTCAGAACACGAGCTCACTCGCGATGGCCCCACGCGCCACGTCTTCTGTAGTAGTTTGTTTCTCTACAAGGCATTTGCATTGCTGCTGGCTTTGCTTCTGAGCGTATCAGTGCAGTGCGGCTTTGACCACTCTCGTTTAGGTGTCCTTGTGTCCCCCACACAAGTTTCTCTGGACAGACACCTCTGTCCGCTCCAGCCATCGGGTCCCTGAAGGACGATGCGGGTCTGTGCAGTAACTGAACCTGGAGCTCACTGATTAGGCCAAGCTAGCTGACTTGCAGTCCCCAGAGGTCTGCGTGGAGACGTCCCGTTTGCGTCCCGTTCTTGCCCATGCCCGGCATTAGCGGATGCTTCTGTTTACCTGCCTCATAGGTGTGCAATGGCTGGTCACGCCTCAGCCCCTGTGCAAATAACCACTGAGCAACCGCCAAAAAACATCGAGCTCTGTCTTCACAGAGCTGTGTCCTGCCCCGCGGTAATGGTGCAGAGTGCTTTGGCACAGTGCAGAGGGTGGCCATGTCCCTCGGCTTCTGTGACGGTAGACCCTTGCTTGCAGGCTGGCCAATCCTCCTGGGGCTGACTGGAGTCCCCGCAGCCTTGCAGCTCCTTCTCCTGCCCTTCTTCCCCGAGAGTCCCCGCTACCTGCTGATTCAGAAGAAAGATGAGCCAGCCGCCCAGAAAGGTGAGAGTTCCGTGTTCTCCTCCTGACCCTGGACCCCCACCCCGGGCTCTTCAGCTCGGGGTTCATGCCCTCTGCTCATCTCTCCCCCAGCCCTGCAGAGGCTCCGAGGCTGGAGCGATGTGCACCTGGAAATGGAGGAGATCCGGAAGGAGGACGAGGCTGAGCGGGCCGCGGGCTTCGTCTCAGTGTGGAAGTTGTTCAAGACGCAGTCCCTGCGCTGGCAGCTCATCTCCATCATCGTGCTCATGGCCGGCCAGCAGCTGTCAGGAGTGAATGCGGTACGCGCAGCCTGCGGGCGTAGGGGCGGCAGGCAGTGTGTGCCAAGTGCTGGAAATGATTCTTGCATGTAGCTCTGAGGGGCTGGGGTGCCAGGGTCCCCCTGGCCGTCCTACAGTCGAGGCCCTCTGCCAAGCCCGCGGTTGCCTTCCAGATCTACTACTACGCTGACCAGATCTACCTGAGCGCAGGTGTGGCAAGCAATGACGTCCAGTATGTGACTGCCGGGACAGGGGCGGTCAACGTGTTCATGACCATCGTCACGGTGAGTATCCCTGAGGCTGTGGTCCCACCAGTCACCAAGGGTGGAGTGATGTCTGGGGAGTGGAGAAGGTCCCAACCTTGGAGGGAGCTGGGGCCTGAGGTATGCAATGTGCCCCTTGGGCTATGATTCCCCAGCCTCAAAACTCCTCTGTGAGGATATTCCTGATGCTGTGGGGAGTAGCCATGAACCCCTAAAAGCAAAGGACCCCAAGCCTTACTCCAGAGGCTCCCACTGTGTACAGTGACTCCGCTCTGACCTCCTCCATCTGGGGCTGCCATGTATGGCAGAAATGGAGGAGATCTCTGCACAAGGTCACTTGGTAGCCCTACAAGGAGCTTGCTGGTCATGACTCACTGCTTCCGTAGTACCTGAGTGAAACTTGTCTGTTCGTCCGTGCCCCCCCCCCGCCCCGTCGTCCTGCCCCCCCAGTCAGAGGAGCCAGCCAGGCCTCCCCCCATGGGCAGAATCTCTCAGGTTTACACCAATGCCTGGCTTCTTTCTTGCAGGAGGCCTTAGGCTTAGAGCCACGGGACATCTGGGGCCCTAGTGACTCAGCTGGGCCTCTCCACTGGCCACGTAAAGACACGTGTTCTGTGCAAGCACGCACGGTTACGTACGCACTCCTCCTGACCCCTCAAAAGTTGACTGAGGGGTAGTGAGGGTGTCCCCATGATGGCGGCCCCAGACAGGCGGGGTGCTCTGTCACACAGAAACAGGGGACACAGGCCCTAGAGCCTCACTTCCTCCCTCCCACACCTCCAGGTATTCGTGGTAGAGTTTTGGGGACGGCGACTTCTGCTCCTCCTAGGCTTCGCCACCTGCCTCACCTCCTGTATCGTGCTGACAATCGCACTGGCGCTGCAGGTGAGGAACACAATTACCACGTAAGAGGAGGCACCAAAGTGTGCCAGGTACTGGGGAGAGGGGGGAGAGAGGGAGAGGGAGGGAGGGAGGGAGAGAAAGAGGGAGGGAGGGAGGAAGGAAGGGAGAGAGAGACAGAGAGACGGAGAGAGAGAGGGAGAGAGAAAGGAGAGAGAGAGGGAGGGAGAGAGACAGAGAGAGAGAGAGGGAGGGAGGGAGGAAGGAAGGGAGAGAGAGAGAGGGAGGGAGGGAGGAAGGGAGGGAGAAAGAGAGACAGAGAGACAGAGAGAGAGGGAGAGAGAGAGGGAGGGAGGGAGGGAGAGAGAGAGAGAGAGAGAGAGAGAGAGCATGCGCGCAGAGACCTCCTGTTGGGGTTCGTTAAACCAAGTGTGAACCCAAATTTGAATTCTCTGCTTCCGCCTGTCTTCAGTTTGTGTCC